TATGCGAAGATTAAAAAGTCAAAGACCGACCTGAATAAGGTATACTTCTCTAAACGTTTCAATACTTTGAGGGCGTAAGATATCGAGAATAGAAATTATATTTTCATGATTAAAGTGTCGCAAAAGTTTGATTTCTCGTAAAGTGCGTAAAGCAAACATGGAGTGATCGAAAGGGGTGATGCGCTTGATGGCAACTTTACGCTGAGACGGAACGTGGATGGCAGAACTGGGCAATTCCTTTGAGCAAAAAATATTTAATGTGACATTTCCTAAGACAAACCATACGATACCATAGGCACCTTCGCCTACATTCAGTGAGTAGAAAAATATTGTTAGTATATGTTACAGAGATTTGGTAGTGAGACGGGCCACTGTTTTTGCGTACCAATTATTTCAAGAATTTGATAGGTTTCGCCGACATTAAAGCCCTGGAGTCTATTATCGTCCATGGCGAGGGTAGAGAAAACAAAAAAGGGAAAGGGGATCGAGAACAAAAAGAAACGATTGATATAGCAAAGGGGTAGAAGGAACAAATCCGGATGTTAGTAGATTTGCTCAGTCACAAGCGCCCACGTAGCACACAAAACTCTCATTTGTATCCGTACCGCAACTCTGGCAGGAACACACTTTTTTTATAGATTGTTTTCAATAACAAATTCAACTATTTTGACCAATTCAACCATCTGTTTCTTTTCCAAAATTGTTATCTTATTCCGATCTTTACTCTTTTCTGCGCGTTCAACGTCATCGACAAATGTTTGTGGGAATTCCTCGCCATAACATTCTTTCCAGAGTGGGTGGCTAATCCGGTTGATCCACCATTTTGAGTTCCAATAATCCTGTTCTCTGCGGTGCAATACAGCATGCATGTAGTCAAAGGTCGGGTTTCCTTCTCTCCCTTGGGCGATGTTGTGGCACCGTTCCATGTCATCATTCAAAAGGTGTAATGCTGGACCTATTCTCAATAATTTTACCCATATAACGAGAAATAACAAATACTCAACCCGCTTTCACACCCTCACCAACCGGAAGAGCCCCGATCTCCTTGGTTATGTCGGAAGAGAATACTTGGGAAGGCGATAATGGTGGCAACGGTTGTCGTGTTCGAAGTGTTTCAAAGATCCTTTGTAAATCGTTGTTCATCGTCAGGACGATTGAATTAATCAGTGTTATGTCAGTGCGGGTTGCTGACCGCCACATGAGATACTTCCAGATGGCTCATCAGTGAAAGGAACGTACTGTTGTTGTGACCACGGCTTAGACCTTCAAAACCTTTAACTTGTTATAATTTACAAAGTCTTGTTACATTGAAAAATGACAAAAGTCACTTGGAACGCACGTGCCGGATAAAATATAAAAATAGCGAGTTCGGACGACGAGAAAGCAGCGGTGGCAAAGCACGTGACCTGGTGACAGACACGTGACGATACGCGTTCAACCATGACAATCCCAGCACCCGCCAACACGCCCGACCTCGAGCGCGCTTTTGCGCTTCGGAAGGAGCTGGAGTCTGCCGAATTGACGATTATAGAGTCTAAGAACCAATTCCTTCACAAAGATTTTTCAGGTTTTACAGATTGCGCCATCTCTGCAAATTCATCTGATCCTCAACTTCTCGAAGCCGACGTGGCCTCGCAACAAGTATGTAGATTATGCTTTCTTTGGCAAATTCCAAGTTTAACATCGGGTCGTAGTCTTTCTTGAAGAAACTCAAATTTCATTATATTCAACAACACGCAAAGGACAAATACATCAAAACTATTGTCAGTCCAGACGAGCCGGATGTAGATGCAGACACTAATAAGCAACTAGGTAAGCAGTTACAGGTGAATCTCATATGTCGACTAACTAGCTATGATAAGAAATTAGTAATGAGGAGAAAAAGCGGTTGTTGAAAGCCGATAAAGTAAGATTGGCAGAAACATATGACAAAATACGGCAACGGGCTCTGGAAGTTGAGCAAGGCGAGTACTCCGATATCAGCAGTGCCAATCAATGCGTTCTTATAGTTTTTTTTTTTTTTTTTCAAGTCTACCAACAGGCATCCTCAACAACGCAGGAAGCGGCCGAACTGACTCAGAAAATTCTCGATGCGCGACTTGCACTTACTCGACTACATGCAGCACATCCTGCACCCCGACTCACTCTGGATGCCGCGGCAGCTCTTGCGGACCGACAACAGGAAGAGATGGGTGAACTTGATATCGCGTTAAATGAACAGAAGCAGAAGGCTGAAAATCTCAAACACCTTATAAAGACGCGAACGAAGGAGTTGGAAAGACTGAAAGCAGAGAGTTCAGTGAAAGAAGAGGAGTTGAAACGCACTCAGCGTTTAGAAGAAGATAATCGTTGGCCGACTTTGAACAACTGGTAAAGAAAAGAAAGACCAGATTTTAGTCACTGTGGATGCTGATAAATCCTAATTCAGGTATTCCGCGGCAGTGTCGTTGCATAAATCGTTAATGTCACTAGAGAGTTTCGAAACACCGACTGATAATGAACTCAGAGTCACTTATGCCCTTCCCAAAGGACGTCGAGCAACTCTTCAACTTATCTTTAAACCAGGGACGCGACAGCTTGCTGAGGCGTCTCTTTTGAATTCAAGTTTTAAAATCGACATTCAGGAACTTGTCAGCATACACGCGATATCGAATGATGTACCGGGTTTATTACGAGCCGTTTTGGCAAGGCTGCGAGCTGAAGTTTGAGAATTCTTTTGGAAGGGTACTTGTACTATGTAGGTTTTTGTGTAATGTATTTATTTAGAACGCCCATAATTCGGTCACGACATCCGAATGAATCAATGTGTCCTCTTCAGTTTGGCCTTCTCCCTTTGATATCGGGAAAAGTTTTGTATGATCCTCCAATGCGAGCGGAGGTTCCTTTTTAATTTTCCGTTTTGCTTCGGTTTCGAATAACTGAGAAACGTTTTTTTTTTTTATAAGCGTTCCTATTGTGAAATAATGTCAACATACCGTTGTGTATGTATGATCCAAAAAGTCTTCCATATTATATCCGGGTTTCGTAAATGCATCGGTGAAAATTCGTGCTAGAGTAGCTACCGAGGAATGGTAATGATTACGATGCGACATCAATTCCCATAACGAGGAAGACAGAGCATTTGTTATATACGGGGATGGTTCATCGGCAATGAACGGATCTTGCCCTATTTTTCAGCCTATGCTCTTGTACAATTCGGAAATGACATACCTTCACTTTCGGAATCCACATCTTGATGAATCATGACCATGCATGCCGGGTGTCGTTTTAAGATGTTATAGGTAAACGGGATAATCATAATAATAGCTGCTGGTGGTGCTGATAAAGAAAGACGTGAAAGACGTTTAATGAAAGATGCAAGGAGTGTTGCAGGAAGGTGGCTAAACCGCAAGTTAGGAGAAATACATTAGAAGAAAATTCTTTGCAACTGACGTGGATGAAAGAAAGATATCTGTCAGGCGAAAAAACCGGGCCCTGTGTTTTAGATGGAGCAAATCACGGTTGAGAAAAGAATAGAGACGTGTATAAAAATCGGGATAATCCCTGTATGTTGGTTAGCATTCTACAGACACCGGTCGTCGTCTCGACTTACAAATTATGATGCTGGATAAGAGTAAATAGACCGTTTAATGCCAATAAGCCAATAGAACCACCTAATTTGAATCATCAATAAACCGAACAAGTTTTTGGTTTGGCTCATTTGTGTACCACTTACCGAAATCGACGCATCCGGCAATCCAATCCATTAGACGAACTGGCTTGGTAAGATGTGGCATGACTCCTTGGTGAAGGAAGTTTAAAGCTCGCATCGAAAGTGTCGACGAAGAAGAAAGATAGGGCAATAGATTCATCCAACATTGAGTGAATTGAGCTCGATGGGAAGCTAGAGAATGAAGGCATTGGTGTGTAGATAGACGATAAACTCGTTTATGCTTTTGGGGCTGCGTTTCGGACGTCACTTTCTCAGGCCCATCGAAAAATGTACGCCAGTCATCCTCAATTTCTATATCATCTCCATCCTCTTCTGCGGCCTGTATTGAAAATCCGGGAGGCGACTTGGAGAAAGAGGGTATCCAAAATTCGTTTACCTCCGATTGTTCCGTAGGCATGGTAGTAAGACGTTCTAATATAGAAAGAACATTTTCAGGAAAGTTTTTGTTGTTGAACTTGTGTTCACCGAGTAGGATCCTATATAACAAATATAAACTTCAGTTCAGGAAGTATGTCTGTAATAACCTACGCAGTTTCTCGGAGGAAGAACCACCGAATGTCGTCGTGTACTGTAAACCACGATTCGGTGAAATGATCTCGAACGTCAATAGATATGTGAGCGTCATTATGGTCTGTCAAAAGCAATCCATTAAGCAGTTTTCGAAAATGTGTAATATGCAGCTGGGGTTGCTTTGTTGCCTTCGTGAATGCCTCTGAGATGTGTTTTAGTAAAGAAAAAAGTATTTCCAACGCTGCATCCTATTAATAAACAACAATTAACGATTGATGTGCTAATAAATAAATAAATAATCAAAGCTTACCCTAATCGCCTTTTGATCATGTTGTAGACATTTGCACAACAAAGCTGTGTATTCTGAGAATCTCTCAGTCAACCACGCTCGAACGAGCCCAGCCTCCTCTGGTTCTCCAACAGTACCGCAGAAGCGTCCCAAGTCAATCAACAGACAAAAGGTTCGATATAAAGCATAAAGGGCTTTATGTAGGCTTTGAGGCTCCGAAAGCTTTTTTGAAGCAAGTAGGATTAAGTCAACGAGAGGGTTGAGTGAAGTTTGGTTGTCTACAGCGACTTTGAGCTGATTTTCGAGTTCTGTTATGACAGTATCGGTCGTTGTTTTTCGCCTTTTATTGGCTGGTAGAGAACCTTTTGAGGGCATCTACGAATTGCTCGAAATCGCAGCGAGTGCTTGGCGACTTGGCGTTAGTTAAAAAAAACAGAGATGCTGAAATTTTAGAGCTTATGTTGAATAAGCTCACGAGTACGACAACGAGGGCGCTTGGTTTAGTGGTATAACGTTCGCTTAGCACCAGGAAGCTGCGAAAGGTGCGGGGTTCGATTCCCCGAGTGTCCACTTTTTTCTGTTCTTCACACTCCTTTGCCTCCAGAAGTGGTAAATGCAATGTTTTCGAGTTATACGACTTAGCCAATGTTATGATATAATAAAGCAGCCCGATACCATGTAACTGCATACATTTTATTTTGACAATGAGGATCGTCGAAAAGTTACATTTTTTAAGTTCCCTACTCCAAAACTATTATAGGCCTTCTTCCTCATCATCGTCATCGCCGGAAACTTCGGCATTTTCTTGACCTGCTTTAGCCATAAGTTGTGCCAAATCCTGTTCATCCGTGTCCGATACAGCTTTCGGCTGCAGGAAATATTAATCATTAAGCGTAATTTGAGACGCATCGTAATAGTTTACCTTCATCTTCACAACAAGCTCACCACCTTGTTCTTCAATGGTTGATTGAATTACTTCAATAGCTCGTTCGAGACGTTCAACAGCAGCATACTTAAAAACAAATATGAGATAGTAGTTATTTGCCAGTACGGAGAAGAAACTTGCTTTATCAGTTGCGTTCGTTCCTAGAACATACAACGGGGGTGCTACAAGTTTGGCGCGAATTGGAACTGTGTCGGTGCTCACCTGAAAAAGATGACAAAATTCCCTAAGAACGAGAATGTAAATTACTCACTAGTTCCCCGGCCTTTAAAGCCTTTTTTATTGCGTCGATCCCGGCTGGCTGATAACACGTCAATTCAATGTCTGCACGAAGCTTGATCGGTTGAGGTGTGAGTCGTCGTGCAATTGTGGCTTGCAAGAACTGAATAGTAGCCTCGGGAACAGGGTTGGGAAGGTCGCTGAATACTTGCTCTGGTTCACTATAAAAAATTTTTTTTTAAATTAAAATACGATTTTGAGGGCTAACAGGCATACGTGAGCGCAAGTTTGAAGGCGTCGTATGGGTGACCATACTTCTTTCCTAATGGCCAGGCGATAGACTCATAAAGACTTTCCAAGCGTTCTTCTTCAGTTTCTAAACTTTCTTCTTCTTCTATATTCCCCCCTTCCTTTTCGCCATTGACGGGGTGTACGCCACCTGTTCGTGATGCTACATGACGCATAATGGAGGCGACCGTCTTCGATTTTGTGAAACGTTCTTCACATTTTGTTATATCTTCGGGAGAAACACGTCTTTTGGAGAGATCAATATAGCCTTTGTTTTTTCGTTTCTCTTTAGTTCTCGATTAATATACATACGACTATTAAATCTGACCTTTTTCTTTGTCCACTCGCAATACTACTACGACTTCGTTTCGCCCTACCCGAATTAATTTTTGAATACTTCGAATACGTCTACGAGAAAGTTCTGAGAGTAGAATCATCCCCTCAATATTATTATATTCCAACTATGAGTATTGTTAGAGATATTAATGCGAGGAAAGAGATCGACGTCATTACAAGCTTCACATAAGCCCCCATTTCAGCAATCTGGCGTACTTGAACCATGACGAGGTCATCAACCTCTGGGTATTTCTGTTCATAATACCGCATAGTTTAATTATGCGATGGATCTGAGGAAATTAGCTTCAAGTTATTGTTTAGGTAACAAGTTGGAGTCAATGATACCAAAGGGATCGCCCACAAGCACTCACAAGCCCTAGTATAGCTTTACAATACTTATAATACATATCGACTTTAAAATCGTTAAGTAATGTGAATCTATCACCATTCTCGTCTAAACTTTTCTTTCCTGGACATATATACACAGCTGACTTGTTCTACTCGTGATTTGAGCCATACGGGAACGCTGTGGTCAATCTTGGGACAGCCGTCGATTATCACGGCTTCAATCCGTGCAACATCTTTTGTTGCAAGGCGGCTTTTTACAAGGCGTACAAGGGAGCCTCCGGTAAGACAAGGGCTATGCGAAAAATTGACTTGTCTTAAGCGGGGGTGTAGGGATTCAAGTTGACCGGTCTCATCTTGACGGGATAATAAATCGACAATGGTATTGATATCACCTCCGTGGTGGGTTATGGTTAAACTTTCCAACTTGGAAAGCGCTGAAATAACGGGCAATATAAGTTTGGTGTCGAAATCGCAATTTCGAATGTGAAGATGCCTAAGCTCTCCAGGCACTTGTGGCAGGTGCGCAAATATGGTATGAGCTTTGGATAGGATCCCAGAAAGTTCGAGTTGTTCTAATGCTGGCAAATTCAAAAGAGATATGAAATTGACAAGCTCCATCGGACCTATTAGTTCTAGGCGAGTCAACTCAGGTAGTTCGATATGGGGAAGACCTGGGGAGTTCGGCACTTTCACTAATTCGGAATCACCTTCCAGAGTTAAATTGACAAGTTGTTGATTGGCTCGAAGCACGTCTATGATGGTGAATGAAATGTTTGTCCATCGGAGAACGACTGTCCGCAATGAAGTTAATCCAGAGATCATTTTTGTCCAACTCAGTTCCGTATGTTCAACCACGAGGGTATGTAAACGTCGTTCTTTTGGGACAAAGATGTGTGTGAGTTTTGAATCACTGTCTCGAGGCGGAGTTGGCTGTCGATCAGGGGATAATCGTAACTCCTCAAGATCTAGACAAAACGACGGCTCAATAGATTCGACAATTTTTGATTGAAAAAGTTGACTGAAAACGGAACTAAGACGAATTTCCGAGTGAAAGCTTCGCAAGTTCTTGAAAAGACAAGGCCCGAGTTTATTGAAGCAAGCGATAAGCTGCTTGGAAGATATAGTCCGTCGCAAAACTAGTTGTTGAATATTACTCTTGGACCGGTTGTTCCATTCCTGAGCTTTGCCTACTGGATCGCGATTTGAGAGTACTAGATGCCGCCAGTAAAATGGTTTAGATAGAACAAAGGATCGCCATTGAGTTGAGACCAAGGAGAGGAGAATAGGGGATAATCTATCAGTTTCCACTATATACCCAAATATATGCAGAACGATTTCAACAGGTAATTTGCTAAACGATGAACGTTGCTTATCTCTGATTTTTGAAATCTTTTCTTGGAGAGCCTCCAGTTCCATTCGTCTGATTGGAGGTGACGTAGGAAGACAGCTTAAGCCCATTTTTATCACTTGCTCTGCGGCGTCATATTTCATCGAATTAAGGAATAACTTTGCAGCGCGAATATAACCCTGCAACCACGCGATCAAATCCAGGACCTAGCTACATTTAAAACATTTCACAAACCTGGCGCATTGTAGGAGCCAACTCGATGACTTTTCGCGAGTCATGCAATGCATTTTTAACTTGTCCAAGTTTTTCAAAAGTAGCAGCACGGGAGTCGTAGACATTATATCGCTGTCCACCGTTTGCAATCGCCTGGTGGAGGTTTTAAAATTAAGGCTTTAGTACGAGTGAAAAAGATTCGAGTTTTACCTCATTGAAATGCAACAAGGCTTCATCAAATTGTGAAACACGGTATGCAGTAACACCCTTGAGAAATGAGTTTTCCCAGTTCAATGGCATATGCGAGCTGCAGGCGCGTGGCTATCCGAGTCAAATCTTGTGGACGCGTTGTTTGTAGTAACAAGCCGAGCCTGAGAAAGAAAGGCCCATTATTATTATCGCTCATGCCGCCAATGTGAGTCAATTTATTTTATCCCAAACTCTGTTTAACTGACGGACCCAGAAAAGATAAATTCACAATACATTCTAAAGCTGTTGTCTGCCAGGATGTTGATCTGAAAGGAGATATCACTATTGGAGCTGGAACGGTCGTTCACCCAAAGGCGACGATATTAGCAATAGGACCAATAGTTATTGGGCAAAATTGTATCGTAGAAGAATCAGCTATAATTGTTAATAGGTGAAATATTTCATTTCAACCTTTCTTTCTAGCATTAACACGCTATTATAGACGGAAAGAAATCATGCGTATTGGAGATGATAACCTCTTCGAGATCGGATGTCGTATGTCTCTCGAGTTTAACGTGTCCGCCCTTGGGTTTAATAAGACTAATGTCAAACTAAGGCGTTGAATCACCTTCAATTGGCAATGCAAACACTATCTCAACCCGTGCGCGTTTACATCACACCGTCAGGTTAACATCCTATTGTGTAGTTGGGCCAGGATGTCTAGTAGCTCCTATTCAGGATGAAACGTTTGAAGATTTCACCGTAGCAATTTTATTTATTTTTTTGTCTCATCCCTGTCTCAACTTTAATAATTCTCTTAGGTTGTTTATGGGGCTTCCTCAGAATATCGCCTATGGAGCGGTCGCGGTAAAGTCCAAGAAATGGACCTACGCAGGAAACATGCTGAGTACCTACGAGAAATGTTACCGAAATTCAATCGATTAAGAAGAGGCGATAATGCCTAAAACTTGGTAATATTTAAGCACACCCTCGTCACCCATTTTACTTTGTCGTCAGTACTGTGAGCCGAGTAGTGGTGGTGGTGTCGCCTATTCTTATGGTAGATAAAAAAAAACCATAAATTCCCACTATCACTACAATTACTAGAACAATTCGAAACACGTTAACCAACGGCAGTAGCTTCTGCATGAACTTTTGCGGCGAGTTCTAGCTCGGTATATGTCCCACTTTGGAGACACATTTCGCGGAAAACTTGAGAAAAAAATATCCTCAGCCTTAGATGAAAAAGAAATAAAATGAAAAGGCATACTTCCACCTTCCTTGCGGATTAGGTTCCACGGCGTATCGAATTCTGCGATACGTCCCTTGTCTAAGACGATTAATCTATCATACTAAATGCATCTAACATTAGCTAATTTTTCAAATTCTATATAATTGATTAAACCTACATCGATGATAGTCCCTAATCGATGAGCAATTGTGAGAAGGAGTGATCGGTTAAATTCCTCTCTAATCACAGCTTGTATTTTCGCATCGGCAGCCTAAACCCAAAGTGAGTGTGATATAACAAGGTAATGTACGAACAAAACGAACCTTATCGATGGAACTGGTAGCTTCATCAAGGATAACGACACCACTTTGCCTTAACAAGGCACGGGCCATAGCTAAAAGCTGTCTTTGCCCGTTACTGAAGTTTTGACCGCCGGCGGCCACCAAACTGTCTAA